TATGTTCCTTTTTCATTGAGGATTAACAATCTCTCACATTTGCATATTTTATGACCTTTTTCCAAAACCCATTCACCAATCTAAGTTGACCTTCCCAATAATTTCAGAAGGAAGCAGGAAAATTACCAAGGGCCATGATAAGAACAAAAAAAAAATTTTTTTTTCAGCTGATTTTGGAGCCGGAAAAAAACAGGGTTCAATTCCTGGCTTCACTTCTTTCTGCCAATGTAACCTTGGGTAAGTCACTTACCCTTTCTGAACAGTTTCCTCCACTGTAAGGAAAGGAAATAACAGTACCTACCTTATAGGGTGTGACAAAGGATGAGAAGAAAGCTATGAACCTCGTGACATCTAGTACTACTCATCATTATCCACTTCCATTCTGCAAATAAGGAAAGCGAGATTCGGAGATGTGAAGTCAAGTCCAAGTTCACACGCTATGGATGCCAAGGTAGAGCCTGAGTCTTCCGTCTTCAAACCTGGAATGTGTGCTCTTCCCATTAAGCCCCATGACCTCAGGGGCATCCTCCATCATCGACAGGACCTCACACAACACACTGTCAGTAAGACAGTAACAGCCTTGCTCCAGACTTAAGGTTATTTTTACAAATACAATAAAATCTCAAGAAGCTGAAGTCCTTTTAAATTCAAATCATCTATAAATGTTACATGAAGAAATTATTAAATATATTATAAAATAGGTCTGCAAGGTATGTGGCATTTATTTGGATAAAATTCTCCATTCAGAGAAATGATCTGATGTTTCTGAAGTTACTTTAACAGCTCAACAGAAAACAATGCCCTATCTGTAGCTGTTCCAGTTTATGCTAATGTGGTGTAACTGATACTAAACCTAAATGTGCTGTCCACTCACTTGGTATAAAGATGTTTTGAGAAGATTATAAATAAGAAAAAAAAACATGCATGACTAGCAAAGTTGCATCACATGCTCATTTGTTTAAAATTTGATGTTTGGTTTTATGCACTCTGTTGCTACTGACATCTTTCTGTTTTCATGCAGTTTTCGATAACTGAGGAATTTTAGGAGCATTATTTTTTAAATATATATTTGTCACACTAAACATCTCGAATTTTTTATGTGCAAGTTCAAATTTTTCATTCTTTTTGCTCTTCGTGGTTGGATAGGATACTAACTGTATTGTTTTATTATATCAAATAAACATCTTCTGTGTACCAAAAAAAAAAAAATCTATGCCTAGCTAGAAATTTCTAATATATCCAATGTAAATTTACTATAAAAATATTTTTTAGACCAGGCGCAGTGGTTCATGGCTATAATCCCAGCATTTTGGGAGGCCAAGGCAGGAGGATCACCTGAGGCCAGGAGTTTGAGACCAGTCTGGGCAACATATTGATACCCCATCTCTACAAAAAAAAATTTTTTAATTAGCTAGGCATGGTGACCCATAACTATAGTCCTAGCTACTTGGGAGGCTGAGGCAGGGGATCGCTTGAACCCAGAAATTCAAAGTTACAGTGAGCTATGATCATGCCACTGCACTCCAATCTGGGAAACAGAGTGAGACACTGTCTCAAAATATATGTATATATTTTTTAATTTAATAACTTGTGTCTGTATCAGCTCTGCCCAATAACACGAGCCACAGATGTAAGCCACATATGTAATTTAAATTTTTTCTAGTAGCCACATTTTTTAAAGTAAAAAAAGTTAAAATGTATAATATTATATTTTATTTAACATGATGCAACGGCCAAAATATTATTATTTGAACATGTCATCAATATAAACAAATTACTAATGAGCTATTTGACATCTTTTTTTTGTATCAAGTCTTTAAGTGCTCAGAAGCCACACGTGGCCAGTGACTGCCATATTAAACAGCCTGGGTCTAGATCCTTCCATCTCTTTTGCCATCACTTAAATCTAGGCCACTGTCCCCCTCACCCAGCTTCCTGCACCAGGCTCCCAGCTGGTGTCCTGGCTTCCCTCCCTCCCTGTTCACTTCAACCCATTCTCCATGCGGCAGCAATGATGGGCCTCGTCAAATAGAAACAGAACATAGAAGTTAGACCCTGTCACTTCTCTGCTTAAGAATGTTTCATTATCTTCCCTCTAGACTCAGAACAAAGTCAGAATCCTTACCAAGCACTACAGGACCCACCCTGCGTTACCTGTGCCCACCGCCCTTTCCAACCCCACTCCGCCACTCCCCTCCCGCCCCCAGCAATCCAGCCACACTCAGTTACTTTCAGCGAGACAAGCCCTTTCCCACCTCAGCACCTTTGCACATGCTCGTCCTCCCTCTTTTCATGATTGCAACCTTCTCATCCTTCAGGTTTCAATTTGAATTTTCTCCTACCTAGACAAGCCTGCCCTTACCAGCCTACTTAATCAAAGTTCCCTGCACCCCCACCACCTTACTCTTCATCTCATAGCACTCACATTTATAAATATTGTATTTGTTTCCTTTTTAAAATCTGTCTCCTCCACTGGACTGTAAGCTCTAACTAAGCTTGTATTATTTTATGATTTTTTAAAAAGCACAAGGGAACCTCTGGTGGACTGGAGAAGTGACACTGGGGAGAGTTGGTGCCTGTACAGCACCCTGGGGTGCTGGGGCGAGGTCTCAGGTGGAGAGGGCCCTTCAGGCGTGATAATGACAGGGCCATTCAAATGCCCTTCAGCTTGACCTCTGGAAACATTGTCCCAAAGGGGGAGAGGGGTGCTATAGGAAAACTGGAAGAGCAAGGTCCCTTGTTGTGTCACTCTGGTGAGAGAATTCTTTTTTCTTTTTTAAGACAGAGTCTTGCTCTGTCGCCCCGGGGCTAGAATGCCGTGGCATCAGCCTAGCTCACAGCAACCTCAAACTCCTGGGCTCAGGCAATCCTCCTGCCTCAGCCTCCCGAGTAGCTGGGACTACAGTCACACACCACCATGCCCGGCTAATTTTTTCTATATATTTTTAGTTGTCCAGATAATTTCTTTCTATTTTTTGTAGAGACGGGGTCTCACATGGTCTCGCTCTTGCTCAGGCTGGTCTCGAACTCCTGAGCTCAAACGATCCACCCGCCTCGGCCTCCCAGAGTGCTAGGATTACAAGCATGAGCCACCGCGCCCGGCCCAAGAATTCTTTTCTCCCCCCTGCCCCCATTCCTAGTGACAGGTAACTAGGTGATTCGGCAGGGCTCTCAGTGTAAGACGCAATTCCCAATAAATCCACAAGGTGGCAAGCGGAGAGCAGAACCAGGCAGCACCAAGATGAAGGCCACCAACCCAAGGTTAACTATTCAAGAAGTTGCCCGGGGTCCCAGGGAATCCATTAGAGGTAGAGAGGTGGACAGAGATGGTACTAGAGCACCTAAAACTATTTCCCTACTATTTTAATTGATGTACTATTTGAAAGACTTCATCGAATGCCGGCCTCGGAAACCTGTACAGTAAGTCCTCACTTAATGTTCTCGTCCATAGATTCTTGGAAACTAAAACTTTAAGCGAAACAATGTACAAAGAAACCAATTTTACAATAAGCTAATTGATACGCACAAGAATTAAGTTACTACGTTATATTTCTGGTCATGAAAACATCACCACACTTCTAAATAAAGACCCAAAACACTTCTAATATTAAACATTGAAATAAATGTGAACTACACACACATTTGAGAAAGATTAATAAGAACAAGTAAGATAATTATTTACCCAAATATTCCAGTTCAGGATCTCGGTGGCCAAGATCTATCCTAGCAGCCTGGCGAACCAGGTGGGAACCAGCCCTGGACAGGACACAGTCCTTCGCAGGGTACACTCACACTCAGACTGGGACATTTTAGACATGCTGATTCACCTAACTTGCACTTCTTTGGGATGTGGGGGGAAACCAGAGTACTCAGAGAAAACCCAGGTAGACACAGGGAGAACATGCAAACTCCACACAGACAGTGGCCCAGGATGGGAATTGATTTCTTTTTCTTATCAATGTTATAACCAAACAACGTTGAACAAAACAACTTTATTTGAGGACCTGCTATATTACCAATTTGACAACATTTAATAGCATATACAGGAAGAATGCTACCACCCTTATTCGCGCCAACCGAACACAACTCGTATTTTCATTTGTGTGAGTTTCCCATCTCTTTTTACAAGGAATTGTGAGATTACACAGATATTTAAGGATCATTGATAAAGCCAACCCTAGAATTCTCAACATAATTGCACTGCATACTGTTTTAACAGGAAAAGAGTGATTTGTAATTTTTTGAGCTAAAGAAACTTTAGAGACAAGGGAACATTTTTTTCAAACCACAGAATAGTAGTGAATCTGCCACAACCAAGAGAATTATAATGTATCCACATTCTTTAGTCCCAGGATCAATTAAATAAACTCTCACCGTCCTTTCCATACTTGTTTTCATCTCTTTTATTGTCTCCCTTTCCAAGTGACTATAAACTCTATTTTTACAAGGTATATATAATTATTTTATCATTTTTTAAAGCAATGATAGTAACTCTATAAGCTGCATGTGCACACATTAGTTTACAGCACACTGTGCAGGCAGATGTTAGGTTCAGGCAGTGTGGGAGACTGAATTATTAGCATCAGTTCTTCACCATCATCCCTTATTTATGTTCTCTGCTACATGACTCTGAAGCCCTGAGCTTTGACTTTGGGCTTGACCAAGTGACTTGCTTTGGGCAGTGGGATGGTAGCAGGCATGACTCTAAAAGGGGTGTGAAATGTATTTGTGCTGTTAAGTGCGCCCTCTTGCATTTCTGCCCTTGCTGCAAAAAGAGCTTCCCCCTGCTAGCTGCTGCTCCTTAAAGCTGGGTCTCAGAATTCACTCACATGCAAAGTACCCAAGCAGGGAGCCAAGCCAGTGCTGATCTGCAGCTTAGAGGAAGCCCACTCAACCCAGCACAGCCTAGCTCAGCTGACCTCTGGCTACCACAGCCTGAAGCAGAGCCACCTCAACCTGCAGACCGCTGAAAATAAATGATTGCTATTTTAAGCCACTGAGTCTAGGGGTGGTTTGTTACACAGCATGACTCTGACAATAGCTAACTGATATAGGGGATTCTACTGGAATGTTGGCGTGTCCAAATATGGGTGCTACTGAGTCTAAGTTAATAACAGTATCCTGCCAGAATATTCA